GGTGAGGGGCGCTTGCCTCTCCAGCCGGGACTCGGAGCTGCGGCGCCGCTGCCCTCCGCGTCGCGCATCCTTGCCTAGGGCAGGGGCCAAAACCTAGAGGAGGAGAAGGGATGGGGGCGGGGGTGGGAGGTGTTCGTCGTCTCCCCTCCACACCTATCTTACCTTCGCCAGCAGCTCGGTCTCTGGAGTCGCGGTCTGTGGGGAGGAAGATGCCCGTGCGTTATGGGCTCTCTCTGAGTGCTGCTTGGGCTAGAAAGCAGGGAGTGGACCCCGCACAAAGATCCGCGAGGGACCGTGCTGGGCAGTTAAAGGCTTGAGTGCAGCTGTACTCCCTTTTGATGTGCAAATGACGAGCTGGCGGCTTTTGAGTGTCTAAACTTATTTGGGAAGGTTAAATGAGTCCATATTTATCCGTTTTCGGAGGTTTGTCCTGCAAGATTGAGTGGGTTGTCGGGTGCAGCACCTGTTCTTTCTTCACAGTGGGGATTGCAATCTTCAGAGACGCAGTGTATTTCTTAAGTTAAGTGGCAGTGTCATGCTTAGGGTTTGTCCCTGATGAGCTTTTATTTTAGCGTTTTGCAGTATAATATAGATTGAGGCCTTGGTTAAAGGCACGGAGAGGTGGTGGTTTTTTCCTTCCTGTGTTTGAATTATTTACAGTTTATTTAAACCCACTCAGGAAGGTGGACCCAGAAAAGCCAAATTCTCCAGTAGATAATCCCAAATTTCAAGGTTTTGCGGAACAAATTCAACACAACTTTTGTGTCAGTTTAGAGTTAAACGCATCTGAAGTAACTGACTTAACTGACTTGCCTCTGAAAACTGTTGGCAGGTTTCATTATAGTTTTTTTTTCTTGTTATTCCTGCGGTTAGGTGAATATTTTCTTAATTAAATTTACATTCCATGTTTTATGGCTAATTCTTTAAATAGGTACATCATATATAAAGTATTTTAGGAGAGAAATTACTATTTAACCACTACAGTATATCAGATATATAAGAAATAATGGAGTTGTAGTCTCTGCTCTTTAAAATAGCTGTAAAAACATCTTAAAACCCTATGCCAAATAATAAGGCCCTGTACATTGCTGTCCTTGTGAAATCTGCTATGTGTATAGAAAATCTTAATAACTCGATTTATAAATACTACAGTACTAGTGAGAAGGTGGGAATTCAAGCATTTGTAATTGTGATTTTACAGGTTCATTGTGTAAAAAATGCCGGGAGTTAGAGATGAATAGGCTATAAGGAACATACAAAGGTAGTTCCAAGACATGGATTTTCTTTTTGCTGCTTTATAAATTGAGAATTCTATTTGAATTCAAGAGCTGAACAGCTGGAATGAAACTTGCATGGATTGCAGAAACTTGCAAAAACGTATCTTTGGTCAAGTTGTGAATTAACTTGAGTATCTTGTTTAATAGGATAGTGATTCAAAATAACTTCCATAAAATATGACATTACATAGGTTATATTTTGAGGATATTTTTGAATTTAACTAGAAAGTCACCTGAAGTTGTTTTCCTACAAATCAGTTCTGTTTAAGATGTATAGAATTGAAAAAAAAAAAAAAAAACAGTAATTCTCATTACATCCTGCATTGTTTTGTTGCAAATTCTTACCAGTTATTTTGACGAAATTAGAGTGTCCTTAAAAATGGTGAATCTTAAAATTTGCTGGTGAATTGGAAAAACTTGTTACTTATTATTATTTTTTAAAATGCAGTTATATTAGTACGTTGGTCTGGAGGGGGAGCTAGTGCCAAAGCAAAGTATAGCTTAATAGCTGTTTGAACTTTTAAAACACCTAAAACCAGATTTTTATGACCAAGAGAAACATAAATTTTTAATTAAAAGAGTAAGACATTGATGTGGGCATATATATGTACATAGTTATTTGTGGAGTGAATATATTGTGTATTACAAACTAGTTAAAAAAATCTTTTCATGAGCCACAATAATGGAAAGCTGAATGCTGAAAGATTTATTGGATTTCTCATTTAAAAATCTCTAAAATGTATCCCCAAACTTAGAGTATGTTATGGTATTTTCTTAACCTTCTTGTGCTATTCATCAGAAGAGAAGGCATGTATTCTTGACCCATTGTGCGTATTGTGTGTTCTTAAATTTAGTTTTTATAATAGCTATAATCCTAAAATTTCAAAAACAAAGCTTTAAGTAGAATCTTATGTGGGCGAAGGTATTAATTGTGTGGTAAGCTAGGTATTTATCAAAAGTAGATATAATTCCTTTTTTTTTTTTTTTAAAGTAGAGATAACTCCAATAAAAAAAATGGACCCTTTAGACATCTGGGAAACAGTATCCCCAGGTCACTTAACCCTTATCTCCTGCAATATAATGCAGTGAGTCCAGCTGATCTACCAAATTGAATGTGTGCCTTTGAATATGAAGCAGTTGTTTTGTGGCCTGTGGCATTTCTTTTAGATTTCTAAACTGTAATAAATTAGGTATGTTAATTTACTTCTGACCATTCAGGTATTCTTTAAATCCAAGCCTAGAAACTGATAATTATATGTATATTAAAATCATTGGAATATTAGTTTTTTTGCAGATAGTGTTTGGGCTCTTTGTTATCAATAGCTCTTCATTATGTAAATAGAATCTCAAGGCTGATAAAGTAAATAGACTCTTCCATTTCATTAATGGTTATTTTTGATTTATGATAATCTACATTTAATAAATCTCTTGATTTAGTTAAATGGTGGATACATCATTTCATATTATAGCACATTGATAAATGTAAAAGAAAGTTTTTACAATCGTGAGAGTAAATACTTAAAAAAACTTGAGTAGTTACTTTACTAAACATAAAACTAAGATTTTTAAACAACTCTGAAACTAAAAGTATTACTATTATGCTACCTTTTTTTTTTTTCCCAAAAGAGATGGGATCTTGCTATTTTGTCCAGGTTGACGGTGAACTCCTGGGCTCAAACAGTTCTGCCTCAGCCTCTTGAGTAGCTGGGACTATAGGCATGTGCTACCACATCCAGCTTTATTATAGTTTTTGTACCCTGCATTGATACTGCTTCTGTTGGTCCTTTTCAAAGGAGATATCAACTTCTGGTCTTCAACAGTAGTGTAGCATCCTCTTATTGATTCTCTGGCTTATATTTCACTACCATATAGTATAGAGTTTCTTTCTTGAAGTTTGAATTGTTTTCACATTGTAGCTTGTTATAGTGAAACAATTAAACATATTTAAAAGTAAAAGATATTTACAACTGATTTTTAAAGAACCTTTAAAAAAATCCCCAACAGAAGAATATTATATGGGGACATGTAGATTTAAGATTTTATTTTCTTTAGTTTTTTTTTTTTTTTTGAGATTGGAGTGGGGTGTTGTCTCACTATGTTGCCCAGGCTAGAGTGCATTGATGTGATCACGGCTCACTGCAACCTTGACCTCGCTGGTTCAAGCCATTCTCCCACCTTAGCCTCTGGAGTAGCTGGGACTACGGGTGCATGCCACCATGCCTGGGTAATTATTTTTTATTATTTGTAGAGGCAAGACCTTGGTATGTTGCCCAGGTTTGTCTTGAACTCCTGGGGTCAAGTGATCCTCACACCTTGGCCTCCCAAAATGCTGGGATTACAGGCGTGAGTCACTGTACCCGGCTCCTTTATTTTATCAAAAAGTTTTTTTTTTTTTTTTTTTTTTAAGTTTAAAAGAGACAGCGTCTTGCCATGTTGTCCAGGCTGGTCTTGAACTGGCCTCAAGTGATCATCCCACCTTGGCCTCCCACAGGCGTGAGCTATCATGCTTGGTCATAAGATTTTTAAAAAATTGATTAGTTTCAAATCCCAACTTTCTCTTCTCATTCTAATCTCCTGTCATTATTTTCTTTCCCCAGCTACCCACCATCATCAGTCTTCCATTTGGAATAATGGGAAATCAAACCAATAAAATTAACCTTACCACCCACCAGGCGAAGGTTTTTCTTGATATCTACAATATTCTGAACATAAAACCCATATAAACTTTATATGATACTACACATTTTCCTTTTAATGGAGGAAGAGCAAATAGGACCTATGAAGTATGCCATATTTGTCAATATAAGGGTTACTTATACTTGTACTCTTACTGAAAGCAGAGTTATAGGGCAAATTTCATTTTAAATTTTCATACCCATCTACTTAAAAAAAAGTATCTCTTTGTGGTAGTCTTTTTTTTGGTCAGAAAATGACAATGTGAAGGAGAAATATGTTTTGAATTTATAAATCTTCTTTTAATTCACAAATTATACCAAATATAAGGGTAGTGCTAATGTGGTTCAAATTTTGCCTTTGCTATTCTGCTTTTTCTTCTGTAGTCATTCTGTAGTATAACTTGTTCATCAAAGCACTGGAATAAAAGAAAAACTTTTAAAGATCACTACTGAAATGCTCACTGTATTTGTTGTATTTTATAACTTGGATTTTTAAAATTTATTTTTCCATAAGCCAAATAAATATGAAAACGAACTTGAAAGACTTTGTTACAGCCTTGATGACTGGTCAGTATAAAGTTCACATTATAAAGTAATGAAACATTGATATTACTCTTAGATGAAAATGGAAAATTAAGCTAATGTTTACTTTAGAATCTGAGTAATGAGTTTATATCATGTAGCGATGAGGCACGTGAAGAAAGTTAGAATTAGTTTTTCTAATTAATCAACTTCATGATATAAACTTGAAAGTGCGTAAATGCTATAACTTTCTGATTGTAAACTTGAACAAAAGTAAAATGAAAATGGGAGAGACCTCTTAATTACCTTAAACATGTAACTAAAATGAACCTGTATATCTAAGTCTTATTTGATCAAGACTTTCAATGCACAATGAATGAGTTTTAAATTTTTATCAGTGTTGTGACTGATTTTTCTATAATATCCCTTAAATGAGATATGAAATTCTAATAATATCTAGAACCAGAATAAATTTGCTTAGAGTATAAACAATATTTACCAATGATCAAAACTATAATAAAAGCATTGCAATGTTATTTAATGACTTAAGTCAACATTCCATAAGTTAATCTAAATAATCATTTTTATAATTGTTTAATACAATTGATAGTAATATCTTAATTAGTGGTAAAGTGGACAAATATAATTTGTAGATTCTGTGTTGTCTGGGACCTTGGGGCAGTCAGTGAAGAGAGGGAGAGAGAGAGAGAGAGAGGAGCGTACTGCTTGATGAGCTTGCCTTATTTGGAGATGAAGGAGATTTATTCAGTTCTTTTCTTTCCCTGCTTTTTTCTCCTTGTTTGTCATCCTCTTCTAGCAATGGTAAGAAATGAGGGAATTGACCATCTTTACAGTATCCTTTTTTCTTAGAGTTCATAGAACATTTCCAGGTAAAACATTAGTTTTTATGTTATAATAGGTTTATTATAATGATTTCATTTCCTTTGAGGTGGTAGGCAAGAGACTAGAAGAACTTCAGTTGCATAGCGTTTAATATTTATTAAAAATGATTTTATAGGCCAGGTGTGGTGGCTCATGCCTGTAATCCCAGCACTTTGGGAGGCTGAGGCAGGTGGATCACCTGAGGTCAGGAGTTGGAGACCAACCTGACCAACATGGAGAAACCTGGTCTCTACTAAAAATACAAAATTAGCCGGGCGTGGTGGTATATGCCTGTAATCCTAGCTACTTGGGAGGCTGAGGCAGGAGAATCACTTGAACCCGGAAGGTGGAGGTTGTGGTGAGCCGAGATCGTGCGATTGCACTCCAGCCTGGACAAGAAGAGTGAAACTCCGTCTCAAAAAACAAAACAAAAACAAAAACAAATTCTAACCTTCATGTGCCTCTTACTGTAAAAAATATATAAATCATGTGCCTCGTACTATAAAAAAAAATTGTGTCCATTGAAGAGAACTAACGTATTAAACTAAAAATGAGACACAGTGTTCTCCACTCATGAGAGTGCTGTTAGCAGGTTTAAGACAGTTACTGTGAGTTCACAAGGTGAAAGTGTGTTTGATAATTAGGGCCTAATCAATTGGGATCTGACTTACTCAATTTCTCCGATACATGGAATTGTACTGGCACCTGAAGGAGAAAATATATAATAGAAGTCGTATTAGTTTTTATGTCTTGAACTCTTTGAATAACTTTAATTCGTTCAGTTGCCAAATGTCAAAAGATTGTAATTTTGGGAAAGTTGATTCTTTACAATTAGAACTAAGCCAGGGTAAACAATTTGCTTTCTTTTTATAAGTTTTAGGTTTTTCTTTTTGTCTTAGGAAGTTTAGTGAAACTCTAGGGGTTAGGCAGGTTGTAACTGAAATTCTTGAGGCCAAAAGATCCTGTCTTGTCCTTGGTAAACTGACCCCCTCAACAGCATGAGAAAAGTAGGTTTACTGATAATCCCGATTGCTTCCTGACATAATTACAGACATCCAGCCCTGTATCAACTAAAATTCTGCTTATTTTTAAGGTTCAAATATTAGAAGTATCTGCTTGATACCTCTCAGGTTGTCAAGTGTACATAGGATGAGAGATATGTTACTTTTAATTTGTAAGTAAACAAACAATATTATGTTCTCAACGCTGAGTAAGCCGAAAAGATGTATACCTACTGAGGATGCACCAAATAATGAACTAAAGAAACCTGGTAATGTGCAATTAGGAATAGTTCTTCTTAATAATAAAAAAAGATTAGTGTTTGGGTTATAATGGCATAAAGATGTAATGAAAATAAAATTACCAAAGAAGTCTATTTTGGAGAAATTTTTGTCAGACTAGATAACAAAGAAAAGAACACATCCTTTTTTTATTTTTATTTTTTATTTTATTTTAGAGATGGGGTGTTGCTCTGTTGCCCAGGTTGGTGTCGAACTCCTAGGCTCAAGTGATCTTCCTCGCTTGGCCTCGTAAAATGCTGGGATTACAAGTGTGAGCCACCAAGCTTGGCCAGAACACATCCTCTTTATGACTGTCTACAGAGGCTTACTTAGAATAGTACAGAAGTACCTAAAAAGAAATGATGATAAATAACTAAAATGTTTTAATAGGGATCATGTGTTCATTTCTGCATGTATATTTGTATAGTACCTGTCATTTGCTGTGTCCATGCATAAATGCACAGTTG